TGGCGAAAGTGAGTGATCTCCCGCTGGAGGTGATCGTCCCAAGAGGTGATGGACAATGGGGGCTGGGTCTCCAACCACCTCTTAGCATTCCCCGCCAGAGAATGGGGGAAAAGGTGAAGGCGGATTGCGTCATCAGGAACACCGTTTAGCTTGAACCCGTTCGTCAGCTGCAGAAGGGAAAGATGCACCCTTGCCTCCTCATCCTTCAAGCCATGGAACTGGATAGATGATATAATGAGTTGAATCCAGCATGGCTTGATCTCGAAGTTGTTCGCTGGAATGGGCGGATAGAGGATGACCGGGCGGATGTCAGCAATCCGTGGAGTGTAGTAGTACTCCAAGGTGGGACCCGGCGGTGGTGGTGGATGCTGATTCACCGGGGGAGCCTGACGAGCATTCCCCGGGGGTGGGTTGTCTTCGCCTTCCATCTCGTACTCTTCTTCAAAATCGCTGCTCACGTGGCCGTCTATGCGCTCTTCCGTAGCCAGTCTAGCTCGCTGTTGTCTCCTAAGTTGGCGGCAGGTGCGTTCAAGCTCTGGATCCAACGGCAGTAAACCTCCTGACTGGCTACGGGTCATGCACTATCTGCACACACTCAAGCAATGCAAACCCGTGAAGGCACAAGTGGGAAAGAACAAACAACCAATGCGAAATGAAACTGCTAAAGTAACAGAAATCACCAAAAACTTGACTCACTCCTACTGTCACTCTAGAAAATGGCCAAGTGTAACCACTTTCTAAAGCGTAGTATAGCGGGTTTGGGTTTTAATGTCAACCCGGGTCCTAGATATGATGACTACTCGGTGAATTCTTGTTATCTAGCAGTGAAACTTTAGTGCAGGTTCAAGCAAACAAAAACACAAAGCAAGTTAAATGGTTGTTTCAAGTCGAGAAAGGTCACCCGGATATGGTTCCCCCTAGACTGCAGTTAAGCCGGATTGCAATTACCAAGTTCAATTTCTATGATAGTTATACTGCAGAAGGTTCTTAAACAGTCTGAAGTCTCGACTAAAGGTCTTCAGACCCTCTCAATCTGAGTCTCTAGAGGGCGACTAACCTCCACCGGAGTAAACAGATTGAGGCCCTAACGAACAAAACCTCCTCTACCGAAGTAACTTCGGTACAGAATAGTGAATTGGCTCCTCGACTAAAGTCACCAATTCACTACCTTCAATTAAGGGTGCTCTATCAACCTAGGCTGATATTCTCATTCTAGGTTAAAGCAGAAACAACAGGAATTTGATCAGGATTCATGCCATTCAATCATTCAAACCTCAATTGAATATAATCAAATCATAGAATCAGTATTTGGGTTCATACAATCAAACCTAACATACAAATCTAGGGTTTCCCATATCCAGATGAATGGGAGAACTACTCCATGGAGAAAGAAGCAAAAGCAGATTCAGACGCGGAAATCATACTATGAAGGATGGATTTCTGCTCCTGGACGTTGATCGGCACTCCTCCAAGCTCAAGCCAAGCTCCAATGGTGATGAAGATCAAGCTAGGGCACTTGGGAACTCTTGTTCGTCGCTTTCTCTCTCTAGGAATCGCTCTGTCTCTCTAAAACTCGAATCCCCCCTTCTCTTTTGGCTAAAATCTGCCTAAAAGGGCATCACTGGGCAAAACACGGTCGAGGGCACGGGCGTGCTTTGCTCCAGCCCGCCCGTGCCTTGCCACGTGTTAAAAACACGGGCTGCTACTTTGGGAAAACACGGGCGTGCTTGATGATGGACACGGCCGTGTTTTGGGTCAGTCCCGCCCGTGTTTTGAGCTGGTGTAGGACAAACGTGGATGAAGCCTCGGCAGTAAAAGCACGGTCCAGGAACACGGTCGTGCTTTGATTTAGGCGCGCCCGTGCTTTGCCCCGAATGCCCCGAAACTTGTGCTTAGCCTTTTCTTCGACGTCCGGGACCTGAAATGTGACAAAGTAGCACAACCCGGCGTAAAATAGGCCAAAAATAACGACTATGCTCCACAAAAGGATAAGAACTAAGGGTGCAAACATGTGCAATTTTATCGTTATCAGCCAAGATCATACCTGGAAACTAGCTTTTTTACAAACCCAGGTCAAAGATCACCTTCTTTTTCTCTCGGTCGTGGAGCCATCAAATCAAACACACAAGGTCCCACTGGGTGTGCCAATTTGTTTTTCAGCGAGGAAAATTCTTATGTTTGAATTAATGCTTGCACCTTTGACTTCTTGAACAACGATAATAACACGGTTCACTCCTCTCCGAAAAATGTTCGAACGAGGGTTTGGATGATTTTTTGGGAACAAGCTACGTTAATTACACCTACTCCTATGGAGGTTCAGGGAGAGCTCCAAAAACTAAGGCTATAGCTAATTTGCAGAGAAAAGATAAAATTTTCACATTTGTGCGTCAAATATTTGGTTGTGGAACCCTTGCTTCTTCTTCGTTTCTCCTATTTATTGCCAGTGGGTGTAACTGTCTTGGTAATCGCCCTAGTAACTGCTAGTTGGCTTGTTTCTCCAACTGCCTTAGGGACTCTTGGTAGGCGCCTTGGAGATCAATGGGTAATCGTTGCTTGGTGTTGACTCCTATCACCTTGGGGCCTCTTGCCCCGCCTTGTTGATTGGTTGCTACTTGATGGCCTCGAAGCCAGGCAGGTTTGGTGTTGAGTCTTATTGCCTTATCTTGACTGGATGGGGTTTAAGCCCTTAACCGTCCCTCCATGATGAAGTTTCGACCACACCCTTGGTAGCCCCTAAGACTCCTTACTTAGTTTTTAGAATCTTATCAAGTTAGTACCTTGCTGCCCCGCCGGTTTGGTACAACGGGGCCACCAAAATCGTCTTGGTACTTAGTCTCTATATGGCCCCCTAAGGGGCTCTACACCCATTCTCCATCAAGTTGATACCTTGTCAGCTCGGTACCTTGGCTGAAAAGTCTCCACCCTCGAGGTTCCATACTTGGTCTTGACAATCTAGGGATACCGAGCGTCCTTGTCGGCTTGGTACTTCCTTGTTTGGCTACCCAGCCCGGTTTGTTGGCTTGGCACCCTTTTGCCTTGCTAGCAAGCCTGTCTCGTCGTTTTGGTACCCTATTGCTATGGCTGGTATGACACCTTGTCGAACGGCCCCCTAGCTATGGGATTCAATACTTAGCCAAATTTCGTACATTGATACAAACCATCTCAAGCTTTCCTTGTCGACTTGGTATCCAGACTTAGCCAAATTTCATGTAGTGGTACCAAGGCTTTCTTGCCTGCCTGGTATCCTCTTGGTGCCTTGGTATCCTGTTGCTTGGCTACCAAACATGTCTTGCCGGCTTGATACCCCTTTGGCTCTATACATTCCATGTCATGGTACCAAGCCGCCTGGCTACCAAGCCAATTTTTCCCTTCTTGGTACCCTCAACCTATCAAGCCTCTTTCGTCGTCTTGGTATCCTGTCGTATGGCCCCCCTAGCCATGAGATTCCATCTTAACCAAATTCCATATTTTTTGTACCAGGCCCTGCCTTGTCGTCTTGGTACTCTGTTTGCTCCATACTTAGCCAAATCTCTTGTTTGAGTACCAGCCCTGCCTTGTCAGTTTGGTACCCCATTGGCTCTATACTTAGCCAATTTTCATATGTTTTGGTACCAAGCCTACCTCATAGGCTTGGTACCCTATCGTTTGGCACCCTGTTTTGCCGCCTTATTTCCATATTTAGTTTTTGGGAGCCAAACTTCGTACCAAGGGGGTGGAGGCATCATACGACTAAGGGGGCGGCCTGCCACTAAGCTAAGCCAGGGATAGGAGGCTTGGCCACTTTGGCCTAAAAACCTAATAAGGCCCAACTAGCTCATTTAATGATTAATAATGTTGAGTTGGCCTTATAAATCTATTAAATCCTTATAATTAATCGATGTGGTATGAGATTAATTTTTAGGTGTAAACACCTATTGTAGACACCACATTTTGTCCGTATTTCGACCTCTTAGATATCGAACTTTTTCAACAATCTAAAGTGCGGCGTGATTGGAATTATCTGCAAACAACGGCCAAGTTGAGAACTGAGAAGTGTCACCGTTTGGGTTTTCATATTAGAGCATTTGATCAATGAGAAGATATCTTCAATGTTGGAAACCAAGGACGAGAAGAATTCGTTCACAAATTTGAAGTCCATTACAAACGTTTAACAACACGACAAAATTTGGATTTGCATACACTACTCAACAATCCCTAATAAAAAAAAGTTTTGATTTGTATCCAAACTTGGCCCATCACAAGGAAGCCCAGGCCAGCAGTATGCAAAGTTAATCATTCAATTTAACTTTATTTTTTGGTATCTTTAATACGAAATATTGAATGCGAATTAGGTTAAACCTGTTTCTTTTCGAATACATTGAATTTCTTCTTTATAACTAAAATCCCTATGTTCTCTTTTCAAAATTTTGTAATGATCAACTTAAATTTTATCAACAAAAGTCTTTAATATGAGAACCACGATCAGTGGAACAGGTTACAACTAAATTATCAAACTTCTAACGAACTATGTGGACTTTGATCCCGTGTTTCGGGTACGTAAGCAACCGAAAGGTTCGAGTCCAACTAGCTAATTAACTTTATATTTGAATTATACGCCAGTGGGCATATAAAATCATCTATTAATATGATATATTAATGGTCCAGTGGGATCCTAAAAATACATAATAATTGTAAAAAAAACAACCAACACATATAAACTTATCGAACTTAAGTAGTACCAATTTAGAGCGTTGTGTGGTTGTGCTTAACTTCCCCACACGTAACTGTACACGAATCCATATCTCTTTATCGTAGACCAAACATCGGTTCTGACCCTAAGGTTAGAGCCGACCGAAGAGTGTTTGATCCACTCCAAGTAAGATCGATAGCGACTCTAAAAGCGAACGCGACCCCGACCCCGGAGGGACGGTTGCGACACCTATGAAAGTTAGGAGATAAAAAATTTGAGTTACTTTTCCAACATGGAATTCTATTCAATTGAACCTCTAAGAAACTTGTTTCCTTGTGGTAAAATAATATCAATAAAACACTATTTGAGAAGTCATACGGATATGTAGGTTCCTTTTGGCCCTCATTCTGTTTGTGAGTATGATTCAGAGATTTGTAAGTTAATTTTCTATGACATGTTAGGGACACCAATATTGTGACGTTTTAATGTTACGATGTAGTGGTGCTTCGTGTCCTTTTTCAATAAAATAAAAAAGACAATTAACTTGCAATTTGAAACAAGTAATATAATCACGAAAAGAATGAAAAGTTGAATCCATTTTTATTTCAATTGTTTTTGTTGTTGCACAACCAAAACAGAAGCACCGCCATTAAGATCCGGGGAGACAAGCAAATCTCCGACCAGCCCCAATTCCGGGAATTCGCTCCATTCCGACAAGCCATTTGTCTGGGGCGAAACGACACCGTTCCTCCTCCCCACTATAATCAGCTCATAATCCACCGCCACTCGTTTCAACACGCGTGAGGTCTCCTGACCGTCTTTCACCGCCTCCTCGACATAACCAACCTCCACCTTGATCTCACCTCCGCCGCCGCCGTGCTTCGCCTTCGCAACCTCCTTCAACGCCTCAAAGTCCAGAATCTTCTCCCACTCCGACAGCCCGCCGTCGCCGTCCTTCGCCACCAGCCGGATCACGGCCAGGCTCGCGCTGGCGGAGCCTCTCACCATCCGCTTCGCAAACGTCAACGCCTCCCGATCATCGTCTCCTCCTATGAAAATCATCGCCACGCGCGGCTGCGGAGACGATGCCGATGCCGTCTCCCTGGCCGGAGCCTTCCTCGCCGCGAACGAAGGCTTTTTCATCCGCCTGATGTGGCTGCGATCCACGAGGATCCCGACGGAGCAAGGTGCTCGATCCAGAACGCTTCGATTCAGAGCTCTCACCGTCCTGTCGTCGGTCAAGATCCGGCCCCTGGCAGATCTCGATTGATGAAACGGCAGAACTATCAGCGCGGTTCGCTTATCCAGCGCCAGCGTGCAGATGTCCTCGTGCATCGATTCCGGAGGCGAAATCGCGGTGAAGGCAGAGACCGATAGCCCTTCTGGGTGGATCTGCTGGTACCGATCGAAAATTGAGGTAACATTCTCCGAGTAGGAAAACGATTTGTTGAATTTGGTTTGAATTCTGTGTGAGATGAACACCGGTAGCGCTCGGCCGCTCAATTTGATTAGGTGTAGAACGTATAGAGAAACAGGCTTCTCTTGATTTGGGCACCCAGCTTCGACGAGCCTCATCATTTCAGGGATGTTTTCAGGACTGTGGATGCTCATAAGCACTCTCAGCTCTGAATTCGGCCGCAGAAATGAGATGCTCCGCCGCTGGTAGTTCGCGTACTTCCTCGACGAATCGTAGAGCCGCCTCACTGCCATCGGGACGATGATTGCTGTTAGTAGAATGCTCATGTTCAGCACAGTGAATGTTGCTTCGCTGATCCTCTGCACAAAAGGGAGATACTAAGGTAAATAAGTGACTTGTAGAAGACACATTTACCCTTTTCCCCAATTTTTTTGGTAGCGGTACTTACCCCCGTGTCCCTGAGAAAACTATAGGTAGCGAGCTCGACGATTCCTTTGCTACTCATGAGAAGCGAGAATGCGAGGGAGTCCTTAACTGGCATTCGACCTTGCACCGAGACCAGGAAACAGGACACTATCTTGGCACCCAAGGTTGCTAAGACGAGCAATACATCGATGATGATCAATTTCCTTTTGTGTTTCAGAGAGCTGAAATCAGTCCTCATCCCTGCGATTGCTACGAACAAGGGCTGAATGACGTAGGAGGTAATGCAGTCGAGTCTGTCTGCTAGAGCAGTACCAAGGGGAGGTCCTTCTGGTATGGCCAGACCCAGGATGAATGGTCCGAAGAGTGCATACTGGCCGAACAAGTGTGTGATTACTCCTGAAGCAAACACAGCCACCATGATCCCACATATGTACTTCTCTTGGACCTGGCCACCCTTTGGTGTCTGGTCGATGATCCAGAACATGGCAGGGCGGAACACGAATGCAGCGAAGAAGATGAACATGGCAGTGTAGAGAATGAACCCGAATTGGCCGACAGATATGTGAACATCGGGGGAAGACATGGTAACTATGGTTGTCAGTGCCACACTACCCATATCCCCAACCATGGCTGCCGACAGCGTGAGGCGGCCCAGCTCTGAGTTCAAGATCTGGAGGTCGCCCAGGATTTTGGCTATCACCGGGAATGGGGTGATGGATACTATCAGAGTCACGAAGGGGAAGTTGTCGTCCAGGTCATTAATTTTGAGGATCTTCTCGATCAGGCTTTCGACGAACAGGCCAAAAACCAGAGGAGCGAGTACGGATAGGACCCCCACCAGAGTGGCTCTCTTCCCTGTGCTGAGCACCATTTTCACGTCCATCTTCACCGCGATTGTGAATATCAAGAGCATGTATCCTAAGGTGGCAACCAGACCAAGCACTTCTTGGCTCTCGATGGTGAACATGAGCTCCTTGAACTTGTCGTTGCCTCCTATGAACGATGGACCCAGCAAAATCCCCACCTGACATGCATGGAACGGAGCCACCAATCGACCCGATCAGCCCATATATGGTAGGAAAATCAACATTCCGAGTCGATAAGGATTTGGAAACTATTACTTACAAGGAGTTGGGAGACGATGGTGGGAAGGCCGAGGTGGGCCAGGAGGAGGAGATGAATGGCTTGGGCGAAGAAGAATATGAGAACAAGTTGAAGCTGCAGCGTTGGCAGAGGATGCATGAGTATCTGTCGAGATGTTTGGTTCTGCCATACGCCGGAGAAATCGACATCTCGTGGGATCTGGGCGCAATATGTCCCCGGCGGCGTCTGGATTTCGAGCGGCATTGTTGTGGGGAATAAGGTGCGAGGTTAGTGCTTGTTCCTCCCTCTCCTAGACTTTGCTGCTTTTTATTGAATCGCAGGTTTCGCGATTCTGTGCAGCTCCAGGAATGGATATGCCCAGGAGAGGGAGGAGATGGTGACGATCTTGGAAGATTGCCAGAAAGTTTATATTGAAGGGGAATCATCTTTCTTTTCCCCATTCTTCTTCCACGGCGAATGGTTGGATTGTTATGAATTTGTTATGGCAGCTTGCAAGATTGTTTGCCTTGGAAGTGGGAGTGGTTTGTTTCAGCTGTTTGATGTTGTTTCCATCTGGCGCGTTAATTTTATCGTGTAACTGGTCTTTAATAACCATTTAACGGTCATTTTTGTTGTGTCCATTCTAGCTTACGGGCGTGATTTTGCAGAAAAGGTGGTTCTTTTACAGGTTCTGATTTATGATTATAAGACTTAACTTTTCAGACTTCTTTTGGACATGTTTGATAGGGAATGCTAATGCTAGTTTCCAAACTCGTCTCAGTTGATAATATGTTAATCGTTTAATTATTTTATTAACCGGGAGAAGATGATCAGGTATAACGGTTAACGGTTCATATTCGAATCACTTTAATAACACCTATTTTATAAAATAAAAAAACTAAATCTATACCGATATAATAAGAAAACAGTTAATTTGAGTTGATTATGTTAGTTAGGGGTTACTGTTATAATCTGGTTGATAGTTTTAGGGATGAAGAAAATAACCATAATTATGAATACCTTTGTGAATCTGATTCGATCGGGTAAGGTAAACTTGAACAAAATAAAACAATTTGGTAGTATGTGTAAAATTCTATCATGAATATCATAGATAAAGGTCGCACTATCCAATCCAAGCTCGCCCATACATATGCAATGTTTTGGATAAATCGTCATCTTTTATTTCAACATATTCAGTATTCCTAATATATTTGTAGCATCTCATCAACTAGTGTTTTATTATTATTATTTCTCTTACTATTAATTTTCCACTTCTATAATATTAATATACGTGTGATTACAATGGTTGAGAAACATAAAGAAGAATTATTGTACGTGATATCCGTGGATACCCGAAACTCGATCGATTATGAGTATGTTTTAATTAACTACTGTAATATTACATGTGTAGTATGAATAAAATCCGAAGTAGTTAGGGTAAGGTGAAGGTTTTATATGGAAATGGTTGGTCATGGAGTCAGCTTTAATTTCATGTAGAGGTAGGCTTGTTAGGTTGTTCGATTATAAGTGTACTAGTTTATATGGCTCTTAGAATCAATTTGTGTGATTGCACTCTACTAGTCGGTTAGCTAATAACCGGATAACCGATATCATTTCATTTTTCGATTAACCAGCTAGACAGTGGTTTGGAGCGGTTAGTCCAAAAAAAATACTATTATATGTTACATTTTGCAAATTACGGTAATACAAGTGATAAGTTCAGTTGTTGTTATGCACTCCCATCTTTTCAAAGACCAACTTCATACATGTTTAGTATCTTGGCTCAAACTCAAACTAATGGAGGACAACGAAGACGAATCCAAATTACAAATTCAAGGAGTCGTTGTTGTATAACAAAGAAGGAGAAGAAAAAGAGTTGACAAATCATGTAGTGAATCTGCACTAAGTGAGGTGGTGCATGGAGAAGAAGAACCCGACCCTAGTGTAACTGTCGAGCCATGGGTTTTGACCGTCAAATCAAGTAGACGATGAAGGTTCCGGTGGCAGAAGGGGTTCCAATGTAGAGGTGGGTTAGGATTTGCTTGGTAACGTGGTTATTGCCTATTGGAGAGAGGTAGGATTAGTGATTTGGGGATTGGTTTGTTCATGTTGGGACACACAGAAGAAAGGGAAGAGGGCAATGAGAAGAGTGATGAGTGTAAACTGGGTGAGTGAAGCCATTGATGGAAGAAATTTTGGCGAGATCTTTACATTTCAATCCCAGAGCTTGGGGGTGCTCTTTGTCTCTTTCAATTTCAGGTTTCACAATGTAAGGAAATCTGGGACTTTGGAGGATATTGTTTGTTTGGAAAGGACGTTGTTTTGACGAGGAAAACATAAATATTAAGACACAATTAGTTGTCCAATTGATTATTCGATTGTTGATTTAACGGCTAACCAACTATTCAATTATTGATTAGATCGAAGTTCATTTCAATCGACGGGTAACCACACCATTAACTTATAATTCGTCCATTACGGAACCGATTGTGAAGTCGGCATGAAACCATGAATGTGAATTGGGCCAGTGGCCCACTAGGCAGGCTCAATGACTACTGAGGTGAGAAGTGAGAACAGTGAGAAAGCAAAATGGAGGGAAGGTGGGGAGGAAGGAACCATGTAAGCGTCCACGTCACGACGTGGAAGGGAAAGCGTGTTTGATCTTTTCCCCCAACCGTGGGGCGAGGTTGACTTTTCTCCAACTTGTGGCACAAGCAATTAAAAGTATTCTAATCTAAAAAACCTCAATTTATCCTTTTCTCCCCCAACTCTCACATCCACTGCATCAGCCGCCGCCCATCCAATCTCTTTGACCAATTCAATCTGAAAAAGAAATGGTTTAAACTTTAAATTATTAAAGTTCCCACTTGCCACGGTGACGCACGCATCATCGCAGCTCTGATGTCATCCCTCCAATTAAATCTCTGCGGCTGTGCCTAACAGATGCGACGGCGGCTTTGGACCGTCGTTCCTCGCCGTCCTCTGTTCCTCATATTATCCCCCAATTAATCAAATCGGGATAAACATTGAAGATAAGCTAGTAAATAAATTTGTATTCACAAAGTACAGTCTTTAGATATTTCCGATGAAATAAAATGAAATTATTCAAACTATTATATATTTTTATCTCAAATATTTCTTTGTAAAGTTAGGTTGAAGTTAGGAAGGGTGTGTGGCTCCACTCAATTTTGAAATATAGTTAAAATTACATGTAAAATTCGTATCAAATTTAAGAAATAGAAATTCAATAAGGCGTTAGCCATCTTACCAAATTTATACACTCGATTACTATTAAAAGTTGTTTGTGTACCTTTGCTTTGCCCTTTTCAAACAAAGGTAGGAGAGAATAGCTGCTTCTGCAATACAACTAGAATCCCTTCCGACATCACCAAATCCAGCAACAATATAAATCCATATTCTGTGTCACAGAAATAGAAAAGATGGATTGAATTGAAGAGCTGATTTCTTTTTCTACAGAAATGTAACAATTATAATAGCGTCCGTGTGAGATACAAAAAATTGATTCGTGGATCTGCCGACAGCCACGAACCAATTGGCGGCCGCTGCCAAAATCCTAAACAAACTAACAGCACACAATTTGGAATATACAAAAACCCAGAAGGTTACAAGATTTACATCCCAAAAACACACACTCTAAGAACCGCAATTAATTAATCAATCAATCCAATCCAATCCAATATACCGTTAAACCTCCTCCACCCTGAAAAATTTTCAGCACAGCAGCGATTCCAGGAACAATTCATCTCTTGGTTCATCTTTAGTCCTGTTACCACCACCGTAACCTCCCATCGGATTCCCCATCAACGCTGAGAACCCAAAACTCCCCTGTTCTCGCTCTCGCACGGCAGCTGGTGCTGCTACCGTCGCCCTACCGGCCGCCGAATGGCCCCCGCCGCTGCCGCGAGCAGCGGGGACGTCGTGGTTGTGCTTCCCTTCATAAGTAGTGATCACAGATCTCAGATCGTGGGAAGCCCTCTCAACGTGTTTCCTCACGGGACACCCACTGTAAGTGCACTTGTAATAGCTCCTCGGATTCGGATTCCCCTTCACCACTTTCTGCCCGTACTTCCTCCACCTGTACCCATCGTCAAGAATGTCTATGTCGCTCGTCGTCTGCACCACAACCCTCGGCTCCCTCACCGTCTTGCTCCCCATCCCTGCCGCGGCCGATGATGACGATATCCCTTCATTCATCATATCCCCATCTCTTCTCCACCTCTTGGTATCGGGCTCGTCTTCGTCAATCTCATCCCTCCCGGCGGACTTGGTATTATTGCTCCTGCTGTGGGAATCGAAATCGTCCGAGATGGATGAGTTCTCCGGGGTTTCGGTCTGGCCGAACGAGCGGTCCTGAGAGTGAACCGAATTTGTTGTTGTTGTTGTGGGAATTGATGTGGCGATGGAGGCGGCTGATGAGGAGGATCGACGAGCGGCAGATTGAGGCTTTGGATGGTTGTGGCTGCCTTTGTAGACGATCTCGGTGACCTGCCCGTCGAGCAACGATCGCTCCACTTTCTTCTTGGTCGGACAGTTGGGGAAAGTGCACTTGTAGTAGCTCCTTGGATTCTCGCTCCCTTTCACTTGCTTCTGCCCGTACTTCCTCCAGTTGTACCCGTCCTCCGCCCTCCTCTGCTCCCTCACCGACTGGTAACCACCGCCGCTGCTGCTATTGTTGTTGTTGTTCTCCGTCGCCTCGGAAATCGTCGTCTGAATCGCCGAAATCTCGGGCGGAGAAACGCTCTGCGTTGAAATCCCTGCACCACCGGCAGCAGGAAACGCGTTGTTCTGCTTCGATACTGCTTCCTGGTAACTCCATCCCTAACAAGGTAAAATCCAAAGGACAATTGAGAAAAAGAAAACGAAGTTGCTCGACTCAAAGGAGAGGAACAAAGTAGGATAGCATACCGTAGCGGGTGGATGGAAGGAGAAGTCGGAGTAGGTTTTCTCTTCTTCTTGCTTGACGTCCTGATTGCGGGGATTGGTGTTCCAATTGAAGGCGTGAGCTGGGAAAGATCCCGTTGTAGGTGACGGGAGAATCTGTAAACAAGAACAAAAAATCAAACAGACGAGCGAGAAATGGGAACGAAAAAGAGAGATTTCAGGGGAGGAGGTAATTACGTTGGAGGAGGTGAGAAGAACAGGGGAGTCGAGGAGCTCGGCGGGGCTGAGGCCGGGAGGGATGGCGAAGTAAGAGGAAGGCGAGACGGCGGGCGGAGAAATGGGGAGGGAGGGAGGCGGGATGGATTTGAACTTGGGGACGCCGGAGCCGGTTCGGTTGGCGATTCGATCGGCGAGGGCGGAGCGGCGGGGCGGCGGCAGCGGTTGGTGGTGGTGGTGGTCGGGGGAAGAGGAGGAGGAGAGGAGGTTGGAGAAAGGGTGGGAGGAGAAAGTGAATACGGAGTGGGAATTGGCGGACGTGTCTAAGCTTCCTGAAGAAGTGGCCATCGAGAGAGAGAGAGAGAGAGAGAGAGAATGGGGAGGTAGAGGATTAGAGGTTGGAAGAAGGAAGAAGGAAGAAGAGAGAAATATATTTGGGGCTTTGAAGGGAGTAAGGTTGAAGGAGATATTGGTGAAATGGGAAGGTGCCGTGTTGAAGAAGGAGTGTGTGTTTTTTCAAGTTTGATGATTGGTTGGAATTTTTTTTCTTTTCCTATGGGTAAGATATGGGGGGAAAAGTGGAAATGGAGAGGTTTCTAGGAAGGTGAGGGAATGGCAAAAGGTTATGGTTGTCAAACCACTAATATGCTGGATAATGATATGAAATGATAATTTATATTAGATAAATATAGATTGGAAAATTATTGATATGAATTGATAATTAAAATCGGTAAAAAGTATAATGATTTTTCATTTATTTTGTAATGTTGTATTTTATTTAAAGTATAATGAATGGAGCTCATAGGTATATTTTTGGGCTAATACCACTACAACACCCGAACTATCGAAGAAATGCCACTTGTGTCCTATTCTTTTCAATATTCCATTTCTATCATGAACTATGGTACTTTGTGTCATTTGTATCCTGGCGATTTCGTTGACCGTTATCTCTAACGGTTGACCTGACGGTGGTCAAAGAGATGTTGACTTTTGCTGACATGGAAGGAAACGTGGCATCCACGTAGATGCCACATCATACCACATATATATTTTTAATTCAAAATCAAATTAAAATGCAAAATAATTAAAAATAAAAAAAATAAAAAAAAACTTTCTACCCACCGTCGCCTTCAACCCGCTCCCCACCCTACCCCTGCTCTCAATTTTAGCCATCATCGCCGCCTTCAAATCCCTTCCGCGAATCAGTATCTACGGCAACGATATCTCGCCGCCGCCTTCCCCCACGACGAGCTACTCTTTCAGCGACCTCGCTTCCTCAACCCTCTCCATCTGGAAGACGACGAAGCTCCGATTCTGATACAGCCAGTGGAACAGCTTCGGCGGCCCAAAGAAGCAGTAGGCGGAGATGGGAGAGGAGAGAGGGACGATGATGAACAACAGAGGAACAAAGTCTCCTCTTCAGTTCTCTCTCTCTCTCTCTCTCTCTCTCTCTCTCTCTCTCTCTCTCTCTCTCGGGCCTCACCAATCTTCAACCTCAAATCCTCCGCCGCAGTTGTTGTGGAATCCCTTCTCCGCAATTATCCCCTTCACAATGATGCCACACTAGTTGAGAGTTCTTGAATCCGAATCGATGACGTTGAAGGAGAAGGCGACGATGGATGTGGAAGCTATCGCAACCACTCCCGCCTTTCCTCTTCCCTTGACTCTGAAATTGAAACTTACAGTCACCGCTGGATTCCCGAGTGATTTGAGAGTTTGCCCATAGAGGAAATTGAACAGGTTGAGAGTGTTGGTGAGGGATTCCCTAAATCGTTAGGGATTTGGCGAGAGAATTCCGCCCAAATTTCGGCCGGGATTTTGCTGATTTGGAGATGTGGAGCATTGAAGATAAGCATACGGGTTCGGATGTTGACGATGATTGACGATGAGGGTTGCTCACCGCACTTCGCATGATGCGGAGAAGAAGAATAATTAGAAGTCCATCGCACATTCCCAGAGAGGGCTCCCGGCGGAGGAGATGCGGAGAAAGGGGGTTTTTTTTTTGCCATAGGCGGAGAAAGGGGTTGGGGGGTCTTTATTTGGTTTATTTTGTTTTACATAAAAAAGTAAATAAAAAATATTATTAAAAATTCCACATCAGATGCCACGTCGACGCTGACTGGATTTTCTGTTAATTATTGACGGTCAAACTCAGTCAACACTAACGGAAAAATAGTTTAGGACATAAATGGAATATTGAAAAGAATAGGACACAAGTGACATTTCTTTGATAGTTCGGGTGTTGTAGTGGTATTAGCCCTATATTTTTTTAATTTTCGAGTGATATAAAGAAAAGAGAAGAGTTATACAAATAAAAATATTCACGAATTCCCTACAAGCGACACACTAGTGAAGTCACCCAATAAAGTCGAAAGACTCTAACTCTAAGAGAGACAATAGTAGTGCTTTACGCACCACTCTATGGGTAGCACAGTTGGCGGCTTTAGGAACCGTCCTAAGGTCTTTACAAACTGACAAAGAGTCTAGTATCTGACAAATACTCACGGAGCCCTGGACCTCCAAATAAATCTTCTAGGACACCTTGCCATATCTGGTTGACGGCCACCTCGGAATCACCTTCCACTATCACGTGAGTCAAGGATCTTGAGGCGACGATGGTGATAGCATCTCTTACTGCTAGGAGCTCTGCTAGGTAGGGGTTGACTACTCCCTGGTGACGCATATCGGCTACCAGCACCACTTGCCCTTCTGATCCACAAATAACAAGACCAGACAAGCACCCTGCATGGAAGTTGATCTTTCAATAGCCGTCTTGTGGAGGCTCCCAAGTGGCGGGAGGAGGATTTGGTAGGAGGGATCTGGGAGGCGAAGGCGGGGGTGGAAACTGGAGACTTCAAGGACTTGGTTGTAGAATTGTCTGTCGAGGGAACAAACATGAGGTTGGTAGAATTCAAAAGTCACTTTATTTGTAGACTTATTCTCCAAAGTAAATAGACGCATTGGAGAAAGTGGAATGAGGAGATATTAGAGATTATGACATGTCGCCACCATATACTAAAATTAACAGTTTAGGCAGAATCAATGAAGTTGCTCAATCCCACTAAGGTCCACAACTTGGTGGATAGGGGGCATCTGAAGAATAAGTGTTCAATGCTTCTTGATGTCGCCTGCACATAGTGATCGATTGAGGCAGTTAACTCCACGGGTTTGTAGGGCTACCACTGTGGGAAGAATGACCTTGAGGCATTGCCATATGAAGAATTTAAGGTTAGGTGGACTTGGATATTCCAATTCTTTTTCCACATGGGGGGGGGGGGGGGTCGATAATATGGACTATCTATTTTCGACTTGTGGCCAGGGTTGAGTCCAGAGCTAGGTGATAGCCCGATTTGACTGTGTATTTTCCATTTTAGAGTAGTGCCACACTTTAGTATCTTGTTGGGGGAGACGAGGTAGAGGAATCTTCCTGATTAGATCAACATATTGAGGCTCAAAGGAGAATTGAAGCCTTGAGTTGACTTTCTTTCTACGCAAGTACTTAATTGGTTGAAAGCTATGAAATTATAGGTAGATACTGTTAAAATAGATGATATAAATGCACAATTCATTTGGTGTTAATTGTTTTCCACTTGTTTTGTGTTTTTGTCAAAACTATAAACCGACTTATAGACTGATTGTACTTCGTTCGAAGCATACTAGTTGCTAAACTAATATAACAATATAAAGCTGTTTATACAATCTTTGCAAAAATGTCTAAAGGGGTTCAGCTTTGACTCTCCAAAGGTAAATGTATATTTTTAGTTTCTTCTCCTTTTTTTAAAGGAATTCACCTTCTTTATAACCAATTCATTTTTTTGTGCTTGTTGTATGTTTGTCTATGTTTGGCCCGACTTTTAGAAGTGTTTTTCGGTTTCAAAAGTTAAAGCAGAGCCAAACACCTCTAAAGTTCGACTTTTGAAAAGTCGAAAAGCGCTTTTGTATAACATAAAAAAGCAGAAGGTCCTATTTGGAGCTTCTGCGAAAAGCTGTTTTAAAAATACAAGATTATGCTTATCATATTTTAATTTTATTGTAGAAAATATAATATAATTTTATTTATATTATTTTAAAAATAAAATAAATTATAAAATAATATTATTCAATATAAAAGAAATATAACAAGATCCATTTTGACTAATTTTTATTGTTTAGAATTTCTATTCATATTTTGTATTATAAGTCGTTCATAGTCATTTTAGACAATCTCTTATATTAAAAAGCACTTCTAATAATTTTTCAGCCAAATATTTAACTATTTTTTTTTAAAGTACTTTTCTAAAAGCTACAGTCAGAAGCTGCTTCTCAAAAACAACAGCAGTGCAAAACTAGCCCTTTATGTGTGTTTTATTTTGTTGCCTTTCTTTAGCATCTTTTTATTCAATTTTCTTTTTTCTTTTGGTTGAGTTAGTACTGTGTGTTTGTAAATGGTTATGAACGTGTAGAATCATTGACAAAATGGGCATGTTAACTTTGGTATTCAATTAATAGAAAGATTATCTTTTGTTTAACATTACAACAAAATTGTTATTTTTTTATACGAGAAAAAATTCGTCTTGCGACAGACGACGGCAAATCTCAGCCTCTATAGATACCCGACGAATCCTGGAAGCGTTGAATAGAAACTTATTACACCTACCCGTCTAAATTTACATAAAACTACATAAACCTATGCATGGACAAATAAAGAAGTTTACGAGGACAATCCAATCTAACTAAAACAATTGAATGCAACTTACATAAAAGCAACACAACCAACATAATTTGCTTGATTTATTATTATTATTATTATTGTTATTATTATTGTGGTGTGGTTGACTTTGTATCGTTCTTTGTTCATCGAGTAGGGTTATCTTGTCATGACTACTTAGAATAGGTAGTTCATGAAACATGTTTCATATTAGTTTGATCGACTTGTCATCCTAATGTATCGAGTTTGAGTTGCAAAATGGATTGAGGTGGCTAGAGCCTAAAATGGCCATTTTGAGTAGTTAGTGCAAACATAAGATGACCATCTTGTTAATAATAAAAATAAATTGAACGTTCACTTTTGAACCATTTTTGTAATTAACCCGTGTATGCTTATATAACAGAAAAAAAAAACCCGTGTGTGCTTATAAAAATAAAAATAAAAAATTAACCCATGTGTAAAGTGAAGCAATGGAAGGCAAGTTGAGTTGAGTTTGTGCCGAGGGTCAACAAAATCGTTGGTTTGACTAAATGGCGGCTCTTCTCTTCTCTATAGCATGAGTAGCAGTAGCACCCACGCATTTATTAATCTCCCCCACTTTTGGTTTATGATTTTTTTTTAATCGAAACAATTTGTTTTTGTGTTTTTTTTTTATCAAAACAATCTCTGATTTCATTACTTTTTTAATAGATGGGTGCCGAGATATACGATCCTCGATTGTATATCCATTATGGCCCAAGGGATGCGAGTCTCTTAACCGATCAAGAAGCTCATCG